ATGTTCTTGTGACTTGCTCTTTTGTTATTCCTATTTTAGCTTTTTCTTTGTATTACCGTAAGAGGTCCCGCCTGCGGTTTACTACCTTGGGACCTCCTCCTGCATACTTACTTACAATGTACATTTCTGATGCTAATAAAGAAACATTGATTGATTGATTAATTGATTGATTGATTGAAAGGCCCTTGATATAGAGAAAGTACCGACCCTCTCCTTCATATCCTCTCCAAAGTGTCCAACCCTCCTTTCCCGAGTGTCCAAACCTGAAATATATCCTCTCCCGAACGGCCGCTGTACAGACGCCACCTTCCTATCAAGAATGCTATGTCACGCTGATAACAAGCGCGATGCTCGTGGCGGTTCGCGAGGCGAGAAGCGGGAGAGGAGGGTGCGCGGAGCGGCGGCTCGGTTAAAAGAATTGCGGTACTTTAAAGAAAAAAATATCCAGGGACTTGAGTCGTGATAGCTAGGGTTCCTCAATGCGCGCGCCCCCGATTAGAGAGGAGTATATAGTTTCATACAGTAGGAACAGAGAACAAGAGGGAAAGGAAAGGCAGGGATGTTAACCAATCTAGAACAACTGGTATATGCTACCCTACACTGGAGAAAGGGATGAGGGAGTTTGAAAGATAGAAAAAGGGAGAAAGAGGAGAGCACGCACATGCATTGGGCTCACAAACGCTGATGACGTCGAACACGTTGACGCGCACAAACTGATGAAAGTCCGAAAAGACGTGGTTTTAGTACAATGGCGTTCCACTGAGTGATGAATGCTTCCTTTACTTCTCAGAAATGATGGCGATCGTTAGCCATATTTCTACTCGGGCGATTCAAGTACTGGGCTTAAGGCGTCCAGTATTTTGAGAGCGCTTCGAGCAGACGTTGTCCCCATGTCCAACAAGATCTCTCGGATGGCATTCATGAGAAAACGAAGCATATGACTTTACCATCTTTATGTGTTTCATCAGCGGTTGGTGAAGACCCCTGAGTGGGCGTGGTCTTCTGACGTTCTATGGTTAGCGGTTGACTTGGAAGAATAGGTCATTCCTCTGTAGCGACATTTCTCTCCGCAGTCTTCTTTAAATTTGCCGGTCCTGTTGCTGCTTGACATAATGGTGCACCAGTAGAGGTGGCGCTGTCGTTTCGAGCTTGTACAGTCTTTGAGGTCGAACTATGTCGCCGACGCCACTGCCGACGCCGCTTCCGACGCCGGACTGTTTCAGCAGCATCCCTGCGGGTCGAATTGCTTCTGACCATTTGCTTAGGCACCACTCGCTCCTTTTTAATTCAAGGGCAGTTTTTCGATGAGGCAGTCTGTGAGCCATTACTGTTACCGCATTTAAGAAATGTGGACTGACAGGCATCTTCCGAATGGGGTTCTGCACACCGGGGGCACCGTGGCGAGTTCGGGCACACACCCTGAAGCGACCTAGTTTAAAGTACTGGCGGCATTAAAGTGGTTTTTGCCCAAAAGGCTGAACACTATGTCGAAAATATCCGAATTTGACATGGGATGTTGTGAAATCGCCTTTGAAGACTAGTTTCGCACTGCGTGACTTCTCAAGGCGGTGTACCTGAGGGATGACAGTATATTATCATTTACCGGTTTAATGAGGGTGGCTGAGTCAGCGTCGGGAATCGCAATGTCTACGTCGTATATCACACCGGCTATGGACGTATTTTCAATCGGTATAAAGGGGCGCACTTTGATGCCGCCTAGCTCAGTCATGTGTTTGAGTGGTCCAAGCGCATTCACGTGGAATACGTCTATGGCGAGTATATTTTTTCGCGTATTTACTCTGATGTCCTTGATTCCAGTAGGCACCACACGTTCCAAAAAAGCGGAGAATGCTTGCCTGCTCAGCAGTAGCAGGTTTCCTGAGTACTCTTCCGGCACGAAGATGATGACGTGTGGCCAGCGTTCATGCCTTGACTTCATAGTCGCTGTACTCGCATAAGTGGGTGAGGCTGCATTGACGATGTTCCTCTTCGCCCTCTTGCTCCGGGAAGAAATGAAATCATCGTTGGATGAGTCGTCTTCCGAGGCGGCTGAGTACAGCTCTGTGTCCTAACTGTCACTGAGTGAAGTTCATCTTTTCCTCGTGGTGGTTGGCTGAGATGAATGCTGGCCAGGCGGTCCTCCGGGAGGCCCCGCGTCCACGGCCACAAGACGCGGAGCCGAGGCACCAGAAAAAACCTGAAGGTTTCACTGAAAAATCGGAGAGCTCTAAGAGAAGCGCTTGGACTTTGCTTTGCTTTGATTTCCTGGATACATGGCACGCTTGGATACCCGAACACTTCGTAGTCGTTCTCCATACAATAATATTGTATGAAACTCTATTGGGCGGAGTCCTTATTTGAAGGTGTTATCGCCGCCAAAACCAGTTGTCGGGGAGTGCCGACGCCATTTCCTTGTTTTTCGCTCGCGCCGACTCTCCCACTCATCGACACAGAAACCACCATTTTTCACTCCGTCTGTGCGCAGAATGCATGGGTTCTGCCTTCTGCAATGCAGTAACGGGGCTAAAATGGCTACAGAATGTTTTCCTTTCCCAGAGATCCCGAAAGATGGCTTCTTTGTACAGCTAAAATCAAGCGGCACAAGTGGCCGTCGACGAATTATGCGTGTATACGTAATATGAGTACTTCATTCGCAGTCATGTGAAATCCATAAGTGGCAACATGCCAGTGTCCTAAATTTTTCAGAGAAGCAGTACTAGCTGTCAGATTTCTGATAAAGGAAGGGCTGCTTGACCCAGCTGCCAAAATGACAGCCTGGTTCATGTACTTATGTTTCGAAGTGGCGTGTTCACCCCTACGTTGCAGCGTGTGGCCTGTGTCAGCGTCGGAAGAAGTCTACGTCTGTCCCTGCCAGTCACCTTCAACCTATTGAAGTCCCAGCCCAGCTGTTTCATCGTGTGGGTTTGGATCTGTTAGGTCCCTTCCCAACATCAGCAACGGGAAACAAATGGATAGCAGTAGCTACGGATTATGCCACTCGGTATGATGCAATTACTCGAGCACTACCGACCAGCTGCGCAACGAACGTCGCAGATTTCCTACTCTATGACATCATCCTTCAGCATGGTGCTCCTTCTCACCTACTCTTCCTGTCTCGTGTGGTTGACGACCTCCTTAGATGCACTGCTACGCGGCACAACTTTACAACTTCTTACCATCCTCAGGCTAACGGACTTACTGAACGCCTCAGCCGCACACTGACGGACATGCTTGCTATGTATGTTTCTGACGACCACACCGATTGGGACACTGCCCTTCCGTTCGTAACCTTCGCCTACAACTCGTCGCGTCATGAAACCGCCGGCTACTCACTATTTTATCTTCTTTTTGGTCATGATCTCTACTACCTTTTGATACCCTGCTTGCGCATGACCTTCCGTCCACCACTTTGTACGCACAAGATTCCATATCCCGTGCTCTGATCACACGTACCGCGCCAGGTCCAGGTTCTCATCGTCCCAGAGAGCGCAAAAGTCGCTATACGACAGCCGACATAGCGATGTCGATTTTTCTGCGGGCTCTCTCGTGCTACTGTGGCTGCCATTCCGCCGTGTCGGCCTGTGCGAGAAACTTTTATCGCAATACGTTGGGCCTTACCGAGTTCTGCACCAAGTCAGATATCTGTCACCTATGAAATATCTCCTACTACGAACCCCGTGGCCACTGTTACATCCAGAAATGACATTGTGCATGTTTCTCGCCTGAAACCCTATCACAGTGACCCACCCGTCTAATAACAGCAGGCACCAGGACGGTGCTTTGCCGCCCGGGGTAATGTAACGGGTATAGAAAGGTACCTCAGGCACGGGTGAATGACGCAGAAGGAATGAAGACGACGATGTTGTTGTGGGGCCGTGTCTGCACTGCCCTGTTGTCCTGCATCCTTACACACTGGGTGCAGTGTTAGCCCAACCGGCGTTAACTTATTAAATACTCCCCGTTACAATATTTCCCCATAGAGAGAGGAAAATGACCATTTCAAAGGGATCTCCCCCCCCCCCTCAAAAAAAAAAAAAAATCAAGCCTATAGGCTTCTGGACCCATATAATAATTAAACAACGTTCCCCTCGATGAGGCGACGACTGGTCTCAACACATCATGTCCACCAGTAGGTAATCAACTGCAAGGAAATTCAACATATGAGGTGGCTATCTAAACTGGTAGTTCGGAGCGCCACCGCACTGCTGCTACAATTCTGCACAAAGACAGAATCTCAACCTCAATAATCTCGGTCAAGTAAAGCTTCAAAGTATTGTGAGATAAATGTGAAATTAAACAAAGTGTTGAGTGAGCAAGTACACGAGAAAAACACACAACAGCGGTAGTGGTATTCTAGGGCGAGCGTATTCCGATATATGTTGCGAGATTCAATACTGAACGTGAGCGCGGGGCCTGACGTAAAGACCTGTGAAAGCGCTGTCTGTATATATGTGGATTCCTACGGTACAAATTATTCGAGTGGAGTGGAAGCCTTGATATCGCCGACTCCAAAACGAATCACCCATGCGCATTTACACCTAATTGTAGATATGGTGTTTTTATTCCTTCTCAAAATCACATGATTATGCACCAATGAATTTTTTGTATCCAAACAGAAGCGTGTTCTTGATTTTCACCGCCGTCGGAATGCGGCTGTAGGCCATACAATAAAATATGTTACTCTATGGGCGCGCCGCGGCTGGTATCGAAGAGTCCGTGCCATGACCTAATCCGCCAGGTGGCGCCACTATAACTTCTCGGGGCTAATAGGGTGACGATAGTTATAGCGCGAGAACAAAACGACGACAAAGAGACAAGAAGGACACGAAATGTGTCCTTCTTGTCTCTTTGTCGTCGTTTTGTTCTATAACTATCGTAATGCCATACCAACTTGCCCAAGCTGCCACACTTCTAAGCTAATAGGGTGCTCGGCTGCTGACCCTAAGGTCGTGGGTTCGATCCAGGCCGTAGCGGACGCATTTTGTGGCCGGGCATTGTCAGTGCTCATTGCAGAACACCATATCGTCTAAATTTCCAGGGCCTTCCACTACCGTGTCCCTCATAATCATATCGGGCTTTTGGGGATGTAAAACTACACATATGAGTGATAACGAAGAGTTGTATTGTATATCGTTCATTCGCTGTGATTTACTTTTTTATGGCTACTTCAAGTCCAGTTACACACACCTACCGCTTTGACTTGGATGTTGGATGATGTTTCTGCCCGTTGTGGCAGCGAGATCGGTAGATGGCGCGCCGGTCATTGGCGATTTATTATGGTTTTAAAAGTTTTCCATTAGGGGCAGCATACGCTGCGTGTGTTGCTTCGTGCAATTTGATGAGCATGGTGAGGTAATGTGGCTGTTATGAATCGATGTTTAGCTTGTGACTAAGTGCTTGATAAGCCTAACGAATGTTCGCTGCACCAACCCGTCACGAACGACTACGTGTGTACTCTGTGGCGTGTCCATCCATGCGATGTTGTGGGGCGTAGGCAGCGTAAACTGCCGAAAATGTTCGCTCAGTAGAGTCACAGTCTTACATTAAGCGGCCGTTGCGATTAATTTTGCGGCTAAGAGCGTTCTGTTTTAAATCTTGTGAGGGTGCGAGCTTGCCGTATTTTTTTAAGCGCGTCTTCATCAAAAAAATTAATTTTGAAAGTATGTGCATTAAAATGCTTGTGCGATAAATATCGCGTCAGCGGTGGAGCTGGAGAACTCGTTCACGCGACATTTTCGGACATTGTTTTTTTTTTTTTTTACTTGCGCATTGATAATGGCAACTTAGTTTACTGTAGTGCGCTGATGTCATCGTGCTTATGTTTTCGTTTATTGCAATTGCTGAAAACCGCGTGGGCGTGTTTTGCTTGTGAATCATCTTGAAGTATGGTGTCGTCTTCCCGTTTCCTGTGCATTCACTTAGGATGGCCGGCTGAGCCTTATCGGTTTATCATCGCGCTATCTTGTTTTCTGTGCAGCTATGGATACGATCGTCTTGTGGAGTCCACTGAGTGATGTTTAGTGCTGCTACAACGTTGCCTCTATCGCACTATGGCCAACCTCAGGCGACACTTCAATTTCGGTTCTCACAAGAGTGGATCCGTCAACACGTTCGGGCTTTCGCATGGCAATCAGTCAAACTCTGAAGGCATCGCATTTCCAGACCATGCATTCAGCAGGTCGGCGTTTATGAATGAAGTCTGTAGCTTCCTCGACCACTGTTCGGCGTATATACAGGTGAGGTGAGCATGTGAAAGAAATAATAGGGCAAGTTAGTGTGCCAAAACCGTGACACATCGTAGTGGGGAACGATGGTGCATACTTTTTTTTTTTTTTTTTGCTCAAGTACTGCAAGCCGCTGTACTTGTGTTATCAGGTAATAAAATCTATTGCACGCTTGCACACACTGTAGGGATGCAGCTAAGTGCGCGTGTTTTGTTTTGAATGACAGATATCGCTGCACAGACAACTGCAGTCTTCGCAACAGTAAGTGCATAGAGCCATTAGCACTTTCAAGCATGAAGAGTGTAACCGAGCCGCAGCTTGTTCTTGTTTGGGTCAGGATTAGTTTATTTAATACCAGCATTTTGGAGAAGTTTGAAGGGCACAAGTAGTCCTATGGTCACTGCTGTTTGTATGTTTGAGAGATGTCTCCGCTGCAGCACCAACAAGTGCATTGTTGCCTATTACACCATGCATTTATTTGAGAAATTCTAATTGGCTGAAGTCTGATTAGCTAGCTGAATGCTTTCTTTAAAATCAACTTGAAGAGATGTAAACTTTTCATGTTCACTGTCTTAATTTGATTTTTTTCTTTCTGACAGATTTTTATAGATTGTAAACATTTGGTTAGGATCAAACACCCTTTTATGCTCTTTTAGTTATGTGCCTATATAATGTACATGTTATTGACAAAGCTATCTTGCTTGGACTAATTCCTGTGTGCACAAAATTCATCTTGTAAGGGTCGACACTAGAGTTACGACCTCTTCTTGAACTAAAGACTGGCCCTTCAGTTGGGGGAGGGGTTGAGTTACCAGATGTGAAATTGATGCGACTTCTTTGGCATGCAGTGACATTTAATATAGCATTGCTTTCCTTGAGCCAAATAAAGCTGATGTACAAACAAAAACAGCACAGTGAGCTAACCTACTTGTCTAATTGCTCACATAAAAGTATCTATCATTAGAATGATGCTTCATTTACTGCTCTAAAAAAAAAGCTAATGGGGGGCAGGGGGAGATGGCTGGTGCAGCCGGCAACTTGTCCGCTGTCTAAAAAAAGCGGCCGAGCCGGTCCAAAACTGGACAGGTGGCACCTAGTCGACACATTTTGTGCTATGCAATAAGCAGCTCTGCCTCCAAAAATGATGTTCGCCTTCATTACAAATAAACTGATTCTGTGGTTTTATGTGAAACAGGTGCAACATGACTGTAAGGCTCACAGTAAGGCAGACTTTGGTTCATGTTTAACCACCTGCTCTCTTCAGTGTGTATTAAATACACAGTGCACAAGTACTATTATTTTAATTTTTTTCTGCTCCCATTGGAATGCAGATGCTATAGCCTCAATTGAAATTGCCATCTTGTAAGGCTTGGTGCAACGTTACCCGAAGTCATAACCACTGGGTTACCTAAGCTAATGATTATTCCTGATAGATGCGATGGTCTAACAAAAAAGTGTCCTCATCCAAGTCGCATGACCTTTTATTTAATAAAGGATGGCATTTTTCATGCCCTTTCAGTTTACAATATACAATGTTTACAATGGTCAATGCTACATATAGAGTTTCATATAATAACTTGAGGAGGAAACTGGTGCTGAGATTGTTGTAACACCATGTACTGTTATTTTCATAAATAGATAATGGGTAGTTTCAAGGGAAAAACAAGCGTGTTATAAGTGTTGTAAAAAAATAATTCGTTATATTGTGATGTCAAACATGGAACACTAACTACTGCATTGCACTGCATATCCTGGTGGTTGCATTTGTCCAGCTTTCACTTCCATTTTATGGTCACGCAAACTTTTTTTGCATCAAGCTTTACATAAAAGAAAATGAGGCAAGTTTCAAGGCAAAATAAATTTATATCACTTTGTTTTAAGCTCTACAAGTAAGCATCTTGAATCATAGTAACATAATCCATCTGTAGCAGATCCGAAACCTGTACTTCCAATCATTGCCGTGGGAAGCACTGTGGAAGGAGCCTGCATAGACACTATGCCACTGAGAGAATGAGAATGATGAACTTTTACTGTTTGACAGACTCACAAGTCCTAAAAAAACTGAAAATAATCCGTGTACTATCGCAGTGTACTACTAGTGTGTAGCATTATCGGCTCTAATCTCATTTGTATGACACATAAAGGGGCTCTGTGACACTCTTAGGACAGTCTTATTTAGCGCTGCAATGCATGTAGCGATGGTTACTGAGACGAATGCAACAAGAATTATGGAAATTGGTGCACGGAAGGTAAAGTTGTGAGTCCTCAAAGTTGAAAACACGAGAAGACGACAACGAGAGACATTCTTTCGCATTTGACTTGCGTGTTGACGTCAATGACCGCTTCCAATCACAGTGCGGGTCTCATAAAGACATACTGGAAATGTCACCTCACGATGGCCTTCGCACAATACCTCGCTACCGCACTCTTTGACGGCATCGTAAGCATGGTTACTACAAACCACGTGCGCCGGGTAGCAGACGCTCTGCTCCCACTGTCAAAGTGTGTAAGATACACACATATGCTTTGGGCGGGGTCACTTCTCCGCTTGCTTGCAAAACTCATTTTACGGCAATGCCATCGCCCACCACTTGCCGCATTTTTGGCTCGCTAAAAACACGGCATGCGCTCTCACCTTTAGTTGCTGGCATACCATAGCCTCGTTCACAGGCTAAGCATTGTGTTCATTGTTCTGAAAGTACATCATTTAGAAACAGAAATGATTTCTTTCTGAGAAAGAGTAAAAAATGTTTTTGCTGTTTTTAGCATTCACTCCTATAGCCTAGCTACTATCATATGAATATTGCACACTATTTGTCGCGTAAAACGAATAAAAAGCGAACGGTTTTTGTCGTCACGCTACATGACATGGCGTCACTTCCTATAAAAAAAGTAGCCGATGTGTGTCGTCGTAGTCTGAAATCATGGTATTTGTCCCGTGAAATAAAATTATAACTGCGTCGATTTTGGCGTTGCCATTTGCGCGACAATATCGGCGCATTCCACAGGACCAGAAAACCGATGAAAAATACATGCTCAAATAGTGTCTGTTACAAGCTGCCACACTAGCGGACGCCAGTTTTGTTACAAGCTGCCACTCTAGCGTCGCCAGCGTGAAGTCGGCGACGAGAATGACAGCAGGTTAGTTCGTTCCGTACGCAAGCAGAGACAGTAAAGAGATCAGAGACGTGAGAAAACAAAACAAACTTTACTCTAGTGAGATTGCAGCACACGGGATCTAGTACAACACTTTAATACAACTAACAAAATACATCAAGACTTGATACAACTAAAAAATACATATAAAAACAATAAACCAGCTTACGCGAGAGAACTATTACAAACTACACAAACTAACAACAATAGACTACGGAGGAGAAAGTTCGAAGATATAAACAGGTGAAGGCATACGTGTGATGACCGGCAGCGTTGTGTCCCCGACGATCGGACGCGAGAAGTCGAAGAGAGTTCTGGCACGACTGCGATGTCGGTGGTGTTGCAACGCTGGTGGCTCCGGGAGGCTAGTGCTTGCAGGTGACTTCGAGCAGGTTGAGCTAACTCGAGGCGAAGTCTCGATGTCTACGTTGCAGACGTTAATATCGCGTCACAACTAGACGAACGGCTAGGTTTAGGTGGCCAACCGATACAGAGCCACACTAAAAACTTCTAGAAGAGATACTTGTTGATTTGTTTCTACACCATGTTGGTCAGCGACTAGTCTGCCTAGCAGGGAAAAATCCTGCGCTTAAATTCCCCTCGTGTCTCCTCGCTCTCTTCCTTGGGGACAAGAGACCTCTACATGGGTCCAATCATGCGCATTTCATTGATGGAAACTCCGCTCCAAAAAATATATTGACCCCACCCGTTTTTTAATTAGGAGAGGGCCCTCAACTAGCAAGAGTGACAGCCTGTTGGGATGTTGTCATACGGCTTGGCCACCAGAAGTTTTCCCATGGTTTCCCCCGTGGGAAACGCTCAGACTGTTTGGCTCTCAGCCGGTGCGTCCCGTAGCCTAATCCTTGTTCGGGGTACATCGTGGCCTTCCACGACCTTGCAGACGCCGCCGCAGTTACAAAAGGATCAAAGGTCGTCGGCGACGTTCTAAGAAGAGCATGCCATTCTGCACTTCTCGGCTCCCTTTCATGCGCTCGCCGTTCCCACGGTCAGTGGGGGAGGACGGCGCCCGTTAATTGCCGTGACGCGGGGCCGCCAAAAATGGCCGTCCGTGACAGTGTCGCAGGGCCCCTTCAAGCATATAGCTGTTTTTTTTTCTCGGCTAGACATGCAGGCTAATGTGGTGAAAAGTGACAATTAGCCGAATTGCTTTTACCTCATACCGATTAGTATCTACTGCTTATTTGGCAACAGTTATATGGGACTGTGGTTACTTCTAAAATATGGCACTCAGCTTTACCGGTTTCATTTGATTTCTGCCACAAATACTAGTATTTTAAATTGTATTACATTTCACAGAGCAATTCTGACAATCTGCCATTGTTTGCTATATGAGATTTTCATTAATTTTTGTGTGTTAGATATATTTCATAGGAAATATTAATATTTACAAGATGCTTTGACAATGCTCGGAACTCCAATTAAGGTAGGGCAAATTTTATATCTGCTCCTAAAACGCCAATAGCACGCGGGCAAGAAACAACAAAGCTTATTGCCCACATAAAAAAGATAATAAAGGTATTGTAATGATTATTAACAGCAGCAGAGCTTGGGCCTCGGGCTCAATGAGCACGAAGAAGAGAGGGTACGAAGGCAGAATAAGAACAGTTAGCCCAGCGTACGGGCGTTGTCCCTTGTTTCTTTTACAAATATACGAAAATTGGGGTGCAGCACACAAGGTCATTTAACCCAATTGTGCATTGATTAATAAATTTGAATGGCTTTTTTGTACCGAACGAGAAGGTAGACTTACACAAAGTTCATCGTTATTTGTGACATGACATGCCTTTGAAATTGCTTGTGTTGTCTGATTAGGCTCATGGTATAAAATTATTGTGCATTTGTAGATGGATAGGGGACTACATTTGTGTGGTTGACAGAGTGAGGCGAGATGAGATGGCTCCATTCAATGAACTTTGGTGCTCGCTGAGCCTTGTGTTAATACATCGACCAGTCTGGCAGACATACTTGTGGACGAAAGGAAAAGAAATTTGCATTTGATTTCTTCGCAAGTTTCAAAATAACTGACAATCCTCTGACCGCATTTTATTCAAAGTAGCGCGAACTGCAGAACAAGAAGTAGACACATCGCTTACTTGCAACTGACAAGCTTATTTTGCTGTCATACCTTGTTACTGCATATTCGCGGTTAAAACTGTTTACCGATCTTGGTTTGTGTGCTTTCTCTCGTCTTTTTACTTGCTCGCAAGATTCTCACATGGCAGTGATTGCGCTGCTTGTCTGCGTAATTTTTTTTGTATGTTTTATTTTTATGTGTCTTTTAATAAACTTGTCAGTGTTTTAATAAACTGTCAAATCCAGGCTGTGGCAGCTGTATTTCCGATGGAGGCGGAAATGTTGTAGGCCCGTGTAGTCAGATTTAGGTGCACGTTATATATATATATTTAGGTGCACGTATATATACATATCTAGGACATCACGGTAACTGCGATGGCAAAAATCCGTCGAGAGTGTCTGTATAACTGCTATTGTAATAAAATAAACAATAGTGGGAATATAATAAGTGACAGATGTTATTCATATTTAAAGAACAACACTGAAAAGCAGTGAGCACATAATTAGTACAAACACACTAAATATACACAAGAAAATTTATAAGAGCAAATAGAAACTCAAGATTTATGGTTAGAAACTAAGCGGTTGCAAGTAATATCAATATTTCTTGAGACTTCTATCTCAAGAGACAAATCGTTCCATAGTTTCGCATAAGGAAATTGTATTAGTCTTTCACTGCACACGTTTGAACATAGTTTCGCTTCAGGAAATTGTATTTGTCTTTCACTGCACACATTTGAACAATAGGGGAGGTTAAGATTACTGATGCTTGCAAGGCGTGTGTTTACTGATAGAAACATGAAAATGTTACGGGCCAGAGGCGTTCATTTACGCTGTTGCCATATTAGCTGTTGGGTGCTGGTGTGCCCGTAAAAGAAACCTACATTGAATTGAAACTATTTTGAGGGGTTGTAATATGATAAACAAATTTTGTTATTTACTTCCCTTATGCAGCTCAATCAGTCAGTCACCCAAAGACTCGATAAAATTGCAGTATGAAAAATTTAACCTTGTTCTCGCTCCTCAGTGGGATTCGCTGAGGCAGTGTATTCATACCGACCAGCTCAATTCAATATAGCTTTAAATTTTATCAATTTCACAATTGCCACATTCCGCCCCGCCGCGGTGGTCTAGTGGCTAAGGTACTCGGCTGCTGACCCGCAGGTTGCGGGTTCAAATCCCGGCTGCGGCGGCTGCATTTCCGATGGAGGCGGAAATGTTGTAGGCCCGTGTGCTCAGATTTGGGTGCACGTTAAAAAAACCCCAGGTGGTCGAAATTTCCGGAGCCCTCCACTACGGCGTCTCTCATAATCATATGATGGTTTTGGGACGTTAAACCTCACATATCAGTCAATTGCCACGTTCCAAGTAATAAACAAGATCAAACATTGTGAGTGGATGGATAAGTTTTGTCAATATCCTGTATTGCATCATTAAAGGGAGATGCGGGTTGAAAAACTCGAGTTTTTTTCAAAATTACCGATTTTTAAATTTTCGCCTGTTTTGATAAGATTAGTATCTCTACTGTTATGAAAAAAATAATACAGGTCGACACTTAACTAGAAATGCTTTAAAATTTCATCTAAAGAACACTAGGTGCCTGTTAGAAGGTCGAAAGTGTGCAGTTTTCGAGCACCTTGCCGTCGATAATGCGCCCCCTTTAGTCATTGTTGATCGCACGAGTCGAAGAGTCTAGCCTCTCTTTTCAAATAACAAGTTTTTTTCACTGATGCAGCACAAAAAATAATAAAAAGAATCACTCTTCTGCGCGTTTTTCGAGCGCCGCGACTGGCTTATCACATGGTACGAATTGGGGACAGCCACTAGCTGCTGCGCGCCTGTATGTGCTGTGAAACCTATTTGCGGGATCCATGTCTTGTCGAGCAGCGCAGCTGAGCAATGCTTTTCTCGTGTAATTATCTCCGTTATGAGTGAAAAAAGGCATTGCTCGCAAGTGAAAGCCGTTGTGCGGCGCGCTCTGTAGGAATAGGCTACAAGCGGCTGGTCCGATTTGTGGCAGTTGTTGGCTTGCAAAAGCCAATACATCAAAGTCATTCACACCCGTCAGTCGGAAAGTTCGTGATGCGGCAATGGATGACGTAAGCGCCAATCTTGAGAGGTCGAAAGAGCTCGCATGAGAGAACTTAGCAGGGACGACATTGCCATTATGTACGATGGTATGCGACACAAACATGGCTGCAAAATGGCATGACACTTGACTTAGTTTGGATTTCGCAGTCCTGTCAAACTTCTTTCTAGCTTGCAGTTGGCACAAGGCTCTGCCAGATGGAGTGGAAGTTTGGCAAGCGTTTCATGGCCCTGTCTGTGAGAAGTCGGCTCGAAAACGCCGACAGGGACAAACTCATGGTGCTGGCGTATTATAGTCACAGTGGCCACTACAAGAAGGATTGTTCTTTTTGGTGTATAAATTTCGTCAGATTTAATGATATTCTTTATAAACAAAAACTAAATTTTAATTTAAAAACTCGTTTTTCTCAAAACACAAATTTTGCCATTTTTTTAAATGTGCCCCTCCTTTTTCGGGCACTTCTAGTGCTCGGATCTGCATGAAATATTGCCCACATTTTTTCCAAATTATGATGAATGCAATTATCTAGTTTAAATATCAATATTTTATTGTATAATAAAGAAATTGTCCGTATACCTTTACTCGGGTAGGTGAAATAGGGACTTTTTATGTCTATTAATTTTCACGCGTATTACATATTTTGTATGTGCTGCCTAATTAATTATTTGCACTGTACACTTTATTTGAAGCATAATGAACTATGAATGATAAAAAATTACAGAATTTTAGGGATGAAAAGAGGGGGGGCAAAAGGGTTACGGTTTTCACTTTGTCATGTTGCAAACCTAAAAGTGTGTAACTTGCAAGAAAACTAATTATATATTTGAAATCAGCATAAAAAGTTTCATAAACAGCTCAAGTTTCATTGCTCTAGGGTGAATATTAAAGAAAAAGTGTCTTCGAGTAGCATGTCCCCTTAAGGCATCTCAAGATCAGTTTCTGCACTAATATGTATTGTCTCAGTGTGCACTATGTCGTATGCATGTGTTGTGGGAAATTCAGAGTGTGGCTGCAGCATCATGACATCTTATTAGCTGTCTACATTTGGTCATAGTATTTCCATGCTACTTCATTTACGAGCCTATCGCCAACATTTTTCTCTTCTCACAGGCACTGAACTCATTTTGTAGCTCAAGCAGTGTCTTGGCCAAGAGCCTGGTGAGGGTCTTTCACAATGTACCTGTTTACCGAGAAGTTGCTGCCCTCTTTCTTGGTGCCTGGGAAGATTTGGGACGAGTAACAGCAGCTGCCAGTGCAGCAGTGAAGACAGAGACTCTGATGACACTGCAGGATGTTCTGAACAAACTGGAGGGAGAATCTCCTGGTGATGAATCTGCTGCACTTACGGAAAGCATTCAGGTGTTTTTCTGCTTTTAATTTTGTAGACATATGTTTCACCTTTTTCCTGAGGCTTCCCCAAAAGTTGCACCGAATGGTGTGGGCCATTAACATTACTACTGTAGTGTTCATCAGCAGCACCATAAGGACAAGCAAAAAGAACACTGAGCACATGAGCTTTTTTGCTTGTCTTTGTCATAAGTGGTCATCATCATTCATTTTTCCCTTAAAGGCCCCTGTCAGCGTATTACACAAGGCGGGGGGGGGGGGGGGGTAACATAGAACTTATCAGGTCACAAATTTTCATTACACCTATTGTGCTATTGTAATGAGTCATTTGCCAACTTGTACAATTTGCAGATTTAATAAGTTTGACTGGAACAAAGCTGACCTGGCCAGGGTGTAGTCAAGGAATGTCATTTTGAAAGTAGTTTCTGCATTGTTGAATGTTGAGGCAATGTTGTGTAAAGTATTTTGCATATAACCTTGGGGGATTTCATTTAGTGATTTCTGCCCTTTGTGTGCAGTATGCTTGGTGTTCCATGCCAGAAAATGGGCTCAATAATGGGTGCAAATGTATGAAGTGGGGAAGAATTTTTTGAAATACTTTATATAGACTTTTTCGTTTGCATGTTAATATAAAAGTGAAAAGTCTATGAAAGTATCTATACAGAATTATTGCTAAAAGATTAATGAAAAGCAGTCTGGCACAGTGTATATGCTGTAGGGTACGCATTTGGGTTGGTCGGTTCACGATTTGGGCAGGTTGGTTCACAGAACACAGTTCTGTGGTCTGTGTCCTTTCTTTGTCCCATCTTTTTTTTTCTTTTTTTTTGCTGCTGGTGTATATAATGTCCCTTCATCCACTACACTTTCAAAAAAAGCCCGTTCGTTTTTTGTCTTAGCAATGCTGAAATCTCAATTGACCACGCATTGACGCGGACGTAGTCAGAGCTTTTAAGAGTGCTGCAGGTATTTCTTATGACAACTTGATGATGTCGTTATAATTTTGTCCGGTCTTCTACATTTGTTGTCATAATAAATTTCATATTCAAAGTAAAGGAATTTGCATTAGCTTATGTGTTGCCTTGGGAAACAAATTTTAGCTAATTTTATCAGAGAGGTGACTCAGGTTGGTGCCAAGGTGTTTACAGTTCTAGTAAACAGTCTCAGATATTTTTTTTTGGTTACGTCCCCCGAAGAAACTTGATGATTTGTGCAAACAGCCGTGGTGATCACAGTTTATAAATAGCAGTGTGTTATGCGCCGTGCAAATGCTTTATTCTGAAAAACAATTTAAGTGCTTGTCTAGTTCTACTTGTACACGAAGTGACGTAATCTTGCTCATGGGCAACATCACGTTGCACCGACTTCGTTGATTGGTCCTCTATACTAGAAAACGGCACCACATTGGATTGCAGAGAAGAACATTTTCTGCTCTTATGCACCATGCCTCCAGGGTGATCCTTGTGCCGATGACGTATTCGCTAAGATTGTGTTACGTTGCAAAAGTGGGCGTAGTCACGATAGTGAGCTCTGCCTACCCTTCTTGGCTGCCGAGAAGGTGAGAAAACTGAGCGAGAAGCCAAAACCAGCTGGAGCAGGTTGTTTTATACCCTGTAACTTCACAATTATCACACTCATTCGCAAAGTTCTTGGGGCAGAACATTCACATTGCACAAGCCTGCAGTTATAGCTTTATCACATATTTTGGACCATGAGTTTGTTTACTAACGCTTTGAAGGGCAACTACAGCAATCTTTCGAGTACACCAGATCAATTAAATTCACTGGGTACATTCACGTCTATGTCATTAATGCCATAAACAGGCTGAAGAGATGTGCAGGTTCATTACAAATAAGTTTTATTGATTACGATTGACTCGACTCTTCCACCTTGCTTCTCGAAATAATTGGCAACATTGTGTGTGTGACATCATTTCAGGTAATGCAGAAGTAATGGAACAGAGGTGCCACTGTTGCATCTGTTGTCTACAAGGCAAGAATTGTATGTGTTAGGCCAGGGCTTTATTGGTTTGGCATGCGAATTGCAGTTTCTTGTTAGTGTGTGTGTAATGGGTGGCAAGTGGTGTTGCGTTATGGGTCTTAAGTGATTTATCATGTAATTACACTGAAACATCATTATAACACTGTTGCATCTTGCATGGAAATAAGTTCGTTATATCCAGACATTTGTTATAAACACGTACGTATTCCTAACACTTTGTCCATTGCTCTACTGCAAGACTATTCTTCATTTACTTTGTTACAACTGATATTTCACTATATCTGGGTTCGTTATATGAAGGTTTGAGTGTATGTTGTCAATCACAAAACACTCGCACTCTACATCTTTATAGTGTTTTAGCTAGCAGTGCTGGTTTAGTGCACGGAAAGTGCGGTAATACTGTACTGGCTGTGGAGTGCACATGCATGAACATTATCGTACAGAAACACTTTCCGTAACATATACAGGGTGCATCATGACTATTCTATTGGTATATAGCTGTGTGTCATGTGAAAGGTGGCTTGTACTTGGCTTATATTATATTCCTTCGGCTTTACCAACGGCCTGTTGAATGCTGCTGTTGCCAAACTTACGCGCTCTTCCCGTAGCAGTATTAGTCTGCAGACTTCTCAGTGATAGCATTTTACCTTATCTTGGCCCCACAATCTTGAGTTGCCTGGACATGTGGCGCCATCTGGCAGTGGAATGCACAACCAGGCAAGCAAGTAACTAAGCAGGTGTGTTCTACTTCATCAAAGAAGATGGTGATTTTAGTTAGCCTCCAAATGCGTTTGACTCACAGCAGTCATTTTCTGACTGCTCCGAGGAGCTGGCACACGTTCCACGGTCAGTAACAAACATGGTACAGCTGTTGCAATCGTTTCTTGAACCAGGTCAGTTGCGCAGCTCCCCATAGACGCTTGCTCTCTGAAGTGCACGTGACAGTCGATGCAAGAACTAATGGCGCCGCAGTTCCATCTTGCATTATGTCTTGTGTGTCGTCTGATATAACGCCCATGCTTCCTATCGTCGTGCAGCTTTTAATGGCCGTGACAGCCGAGATTCCGACAAATAAACTTTTTCAATAACCTCTGCTGCTTCAAAAGCAATCATTTCATAAGGCATGCTCCATAAATATCAAAATATAATAAAACTTGTCCTATTTGCCTGTCTAGATCTCCTCTCGCACGAATATTCAATTGCCATAAACCTATGTTTAGCCACCACGGTTGAACTGTGGTTATGGTGCTAGGCTGCTGAGCTGAAGGTTGCGAGATCACTCACGACTCTGGCGGTTGTATTTTTTACGGTGTTGAAAATTATATTCGCACATGTGAATAAATTTTTCATCCTAAACAAATCGTAAAACAGTGAACCATTGTTGATGTTTGGGTGATTTAGTTTTGATTTTTTGAGAAAGGCCATAACCAAACTCTCTTAAAGCAGGCACCTGATTTGCATTCTCTAAGCTCAGTTACGCGACTTGTAGCGTAGTTAGTTCCTATCCTCACAATCCTGGTAGGATAAGCTTTCAGAAGTGGTGACCGGTGTTCCTCTTAGCTGCTCGTGCAACACGTGCATAAAGATGGCATTCTTCAACTTTGTCTCTTTCTCAGACGCTAAATCAAAAGAATTGCTTCCGAAGCAATCACCGTTGGCGAACAATCACGCACGGAGTAGGAGAAAGTGAGCACTGAGAAACACGCAGTGCATTGCAAGCGGCTACTTCTGTTGCATCTCAGATTGCTGCAGCATGTGCATTGCCTCCACGATCAGCTTCGGCAACGCACCATTAAGAGAAATGGTGCACTGCCATATTCGATTTCACGGGCCACGGCAAGTGAAGCAAAACGGAACAGCTGCGTTGCAAGTTCACGCATCACCCGCGTGTACGAGCTCGCGAGTGGAGCTGCAAAACTTTAGTGGTTCTAAAAACGTTGGTTGCGAAGAGAGTCTCATTTCTCCTGAGTGTCTGCTCAGCACAGATTTTATACTATGCACAGGTGGGACTGGCATGCCTTGCACAATCTCTCCTTTTTGCTGGCTTATCACGTGGAGATGTTACTGCTCGGTTTGGTTTCAGTGTTGGCGTTGCAATTTCTTGCCTATTTGAAATTGTCCAATTTTCTAGAGTATTTTTGCTATCAGGTCTCTCAGGAATATAAAAGTACTATTGTTCTGACATGGTCAAAAAATTGCTGAAGTTGGCCTTTAAGGGGGGCATAACAATGGGAATATCAAACTTTGTGAAAATATTCTATCTTTCAATTTATTTAATAATTATATTTTCAATTTTCTTAATTTATGACATTAGAGTGAAGTACTAGAACAAAAAATACACAGTAGAAGAATATTCTGTTGCAGATAGTTCCATTTTTGCAACATAGCTGCTTTTTGATTAGTGCAACCTAAGTATTTTGAAATGATAATGTGGCTTGGTGTCTGCAGAACTGGGAAGATGTCAACAGCTGATTATATATGTAGTGTTATTTTAGGACGAAAGTGACTTGAAAGTGTTGTAGCTTACTCAAATAATCAATGACTAGTGTGTACTGCTTCTGACTGGCTGTATTCAAGTTATCCTGCCACAACTGTAGTGTGGGTAGCTGTAGTTTGTGTGGCAATTCTGAAGCTTTGTTGCAGAAATGCAATAATTGCTATAAACAGCTAATGTGTTGCAAATTCATGTTTTCATATCCAGGTTTTGTACATGTGTGTGTGAATGCATAGGTGGGTGGTTGATTGAGTGGGTGGGTAATTGGGTGAGTAGGTAGGATTAGGTAGAAAGGTAGATGAGTGGGTGGGTGTATGAATGGGTGGGTGGCGTTTATAGTTGGGACGTCCCATTTATATTTGTAAATTCCTGTTGTAATGTAATGAATGGCACTATGACCCACTAAATTTGCCCTTTTTTCAGTGTTTATGAAAACCAAGATTTCAATGAAAGTGTTTTCATTACTTATTGCAAGCCTTTTTTCAAAACCGAATGGAGAAACATGAATGCTTGGCCTTGTAGAAAGTAACCTGTGAAAGCTACAATACTGATATGGCTGTACTTATCAACTAGGACCATTACAAGCTATTGAAGTGTCCTATTGCCATCTCTTTATCTCAAAGCGAGTGTGCTCTTTACAGGCTGTGGGATCATGCCTTGGATCCTACCTTGAACTGCAAGTGCAATTTTCTTACTCTGCTTGGAAGGCCCTGAGCAAGATTTCGAAAAGTTTGCCTCAAGAGAGAAACTCCAGCAAGTCTGCAGCAGCAAAGTCATCAGCAGAGCTTGCAGCTACTATTAAAAAACACTTTGCTAGCTTACTGCATAAGTTGGGGCCTAACACAAAACAGGTATGCATGAAGCAGTGGCCAAGTGTAACATATTTGGTCATGACTTTGGGATGGTGATTAGGGTGTTTGTGCATGTTAAAAGAGCGACTTTTAAATTAACGAGCTGAGTCAGGGACAAGTGATTTTATAAAGTTATTATTGTCAGGAAACCTTGCCTTTTTTCTATAATAGCAATTGTAAGGACACTGAAAGCAAGAATTCACCATTTTGTGTTATGTTCAAGTGCGATAAGATCCTGTCGTGCTCTACACAAGGTGTATAAGCTGTGGTAGCAAGGGGTAGGTTCTATGCTGTAGGACATGGTTTTGGCAAACACGTGGTAAAGGAGGGAGCGTATGGGTGAAGTTTAATGGTGTATTAAATTTACCGCTCCGGTCCTTTGGCTCGGAGTCGCCAGATGTCGAGGCAGCTCGCAATTGGAGCGCTAAAGGCAGCATACCAACCAAATACACCGGCGATCTTGGAGCAGCGCGCCTGTAGCGTCATCTTGTAGTCCGCACGGGAAGCCGCAAGCTAAACATTCGTGCGCTGCATTGACAAAAGGCACCATCTTTGACATGTCTGCACGGAGCAACAACCTTCTGAGCTCGGGATGTAAATCTGGCGATTGTCGTTGTCTGAGCTATTATCTTCAAGGCATTCGTAAGTGAGCTTCTGTAACAACAGCAGTGACGTTTCCTCTGTCTTCACTAACCGCCTCCTTTTTGACATGGTGGATTTATGGCTACATAGATGTGAAGTAGCCACGTACACACTGAAAAACGCCATGAACAACACATGGGCATGGAAGTATTACGCGTCCGGCGATCTTGTCCACATAAATGTGCACTCACACTGTCTGCTTGTATCACGGGCTTTGTACTCCCAGCCAGATTGCGCCACGCCCCGACTTTAAAGTCGGAGCAGTTGGGGTGCTCCAAGTCGGAGTTTGACGCTCGGAAAGAACCAACCGAAGGTAGCCTGAGCGCTCAAATTCTACCAACCGAACGTGCGGCCACTTTTCAGAGCGTTTGTAAACTCGTGCCCGAATACGCCACAAGTCATATGCAGTCATACGCAGAATAAGTATGGGATTTACATATAATCAAGAAAAAACTTGCATTATTTCCCCGAAGGTAACCCTAATGCAATGGGATGTGAAACAGCAGTGTTGCGCACGGGGCGTCTCTCATAATCATATGGTGGTTTTGGGATGTTAAACCCCACAAATCAATCAGCATTGCGCGTGGGTTGAACGGCGTTAATGCGGGTGCTGCAGTGAGCGCTGGAAGATTCGTTTGAAGCGATGGCTGGCGTAGGTATTGTAGGTGACACGTAAATACATGTTTAAATGCGTACGTTAGGCGCATGGCATGGGATCCGACGAGTCAGCGCTGTAGCAAGCGGCAGTCGCGGCATGTGTTTTAGGCAAATGGTCGAAGCAGCAGCAGCAGGCGCCGCGGCGAGTGCACGGCTGGCGAGGGATAGTGTGACGTCAGCGAAAACTGGGAGTGGAGCGTGACGCCAAGGCACAACAGAGGCGTGACCTACTTGGCACCGCGCCGACACCTGCGCGCACGGCGCGTTCGTACGGAAGGACAGGGTTACACAGGCTAGTTAAAGAGCTGCTTCACATCTAATGAAAGTGCATTTATATATTAAGCATTTGTGTGTTTTCTTGAGCCTTCATATAATCCAGCAGTTAGTTATTTCAGCCATTTTTTCCAGTCCTGTGGAATCCAAATCAACAAGCTTTTACAGTAATTTAAAAAGATGAAATGTGATGTGATAGGTTTCCAGACAAGCCTTCATGAGATGATTACTTTAGAAAATGGTACTAACAAACAAGGACACGAACTAGTAGCAGCAAACTTCAACAATACCACATTTGGCATAGTTGGTGTCCTCCTAGTAGTCCGCGTTTTTTCACTGGTATTGTATTCCATAAATATAACCAGCACCAACTAGTCTAGCTGTTTTTGCTTAGCTTGGGATTATTGTTTGCATTCATAGGGTTCCCTTGCCGCTGGGGTAGCAGACAGCCAGCAAAGCCAGTTTTATGTTGAAGGCTCAGTGCCTACTTCCAGCAGCCTGACATCTGCAACTGAAGGGCCTGCTCAGCCTGGCACTAAAGCTCTTGGTTGGACACACACTTCTGAAGAGCTTATAGGATCAACTGGTGCTACTCAGCCTCCTGTGCAACCAGGACAGCAAGGTGACTGTGCGATGAAGTTTTTACAGCCATAATCACTGCCCAAATTTTAGCAAGGTCAATATCACTGGCATGCTAAAAAGAATCTGTTTCGATTCATCATGATTTTTTTTCACACAGTCATCCTGCCACAAAAATTTCTTGTGCAGATTAAGAAAGCAAAAAAATAGATAAATTAAAAAAATTTTTCAATAGCAACCTGCTTTAAAGACTGCAGTAATAAAAATGGTAAATATTGCATTGTGTTAAGTGAAAGGTTGAGATAAATAATTTGTAAATATTATGTGAGAGTTTCTTGTATCAAGCTTTGACTATAATAGCTGTAATATGTGGTTATGAAAGTATAACATTTTCAATTTTATTTTTTTTTTTCAGCTTCAGAAGGTTTTCTCCATTCGTCTTTTTTGTTAGTGTTTTTCAGGGATCCCATAGTCATGACTTTTGGCTTGGTTTTTTTTTTTTCCCTTCACCACTTGTGCATGACGGCTTGTGCATGGATGCATGCTTACTTGTTGAAGTGGTCCACTGAAGTACTGCTCTTACAGAATGAATGGGCCACTTTAGACTTAATAATTTGAGTTGTTTCGTTTCTGCTACCTGTAGTTTGTTGCACATTGCCATTCAAGTTAGTTTTGCTGTTTAAGTGATTCTTATGTTCAGAGCAGAGTTCACATCACCTTTAGAGTCCAGATGCATAGTTAATGGCTGACATTGTGCCGTTAAATAAATTGATGCACTTATTGTGTCTTTTGCCTAAAGCTTCCTTGTAATATTTCATTGTTTTTGCCTACCTATTTAGTATGTGTTTCTAGCTGCTATGCACTTCCTTATAAATAGGGCTCCGAATTTTCGGAGTTTATTTTTCTTGAAGTTCAGAGGATGTTTTTTTTTAGTTTTCTTTTTGGGAGGCAATTCGGTGTTTATCGAAGTTTAATTTTAGCAAATACCCAATTCTTTAGAATTTGGTGCTTAATTTTTCATTATAAGCTGTCAAATGGGCTTTTATTAATTTTTATTTCCAATACAAACGCATTGCATTGTTTCTGGTAATCTTGTTTCTTCCTCCTTTACTTTTTCCCCTTGCTCTTTACTTATCCACTTATAAAGGCTGCACTGCACTGATGTAACACTGCACTGCACTGCTGGTAACTAGCCAAAGTGTACTTTTGGGCGGCGGGAGCTAGGCAAGCTGCTTGTCCTTTCTCGTTTTCTTGATAAAAAGTGAAGGACTTATTAATATTAATATTCTATATATTGTGAAACCTTGCATGAAGTTATGTCTTAACACAAAAACATGCAGACGAAATGTATTTCAGATATCTCAACAGGTTTGAACACACAAATACATATGCACACAAGCACAAATACTTCAATACTAAATACCTACGTTGGCCAGTGTTACAACCTTAAAGCTTGTTTTAATATGTGCAATTGCATACATTATGAGGTTGCTGTCACTAATGGATGTTCGCTCTATTAAAATGATGAATCTCAAGTTTTAAAACGCTCTTTGACTGTTGAAAATGCTCTTTTGAAATTGTAGCTTTTGAATAAATCAGAATTGTGAAAAATTTTTCTGCGGGTATTTACTAGACTTTTTGAAATTAATACGAAAACGGGGAGCCCTACTTTAAAAGAAAACAAGTAAAAGCGATTATCTAGGTGTCCTAGCCTTCTGAAAGTGTTTGAGGATTCTAAGTACCGTATTTACCTGCATAATCCTTGCACTTTTTTTTTCACGCTAGATCGATAAAAAGTGGGGGGATGCGAGAATTACACAAGAAAAGTTTCCGCGAAAGCGTACGGAGCTGGGGGGGGGGGGGGGGGGGGGCGGGGTAGGGTAATGGAAGTGACTGCAAATCAAAATTCTCATGCTAGCAACTAACTACAAGCTTTGAGAAGTACTCAGCAAGACTTACCTTAACAATGAAGCTGCAGTTTCAACACAAGGCAAGATAAATGTCCGACGCAAGAGCTGCAAGCAAATACAGTTTTGGAATACCGTACGCAAAGCTTGCGGGCGTAGCGTAGCGTTCGTCACTCAACGGGAGCCCGCAAAAGTTTTGCGTACGACGTCATCCTTGACCTGATGGCCATCTAGCACGAAAGTCCGGAGTAACTTTGTGACAAAATAAAGTTTTATCATCCATCCCACTCTTACGCACGCAGAAGGTCCAGTGCTTCTTGGTGGCTTTCAGCTGCCCGTGCTGCTGTCTCCAGTTGCAAACACAAGACCCGTCGACTCCAAAGTGCCTACCGTCGGCCCTGTTGCCATTGTTTAGTGCATGATCAATCCCTTTCAACTTGAAAGCAGCCGTGTAGGTTCTGTATTGCCCCATAGCATAACCACAGAACAGACACAACGTACAATAACGATCTAACATGCCCCAACACGCACTTGCATACCTGCAAAGTCTCTTGGATGATCTGGGAGACTCACGGATTTTGACCATTCTTCCCATGTGTACGGTTGCCATAAAAATCTCCCTGGCATCGAAATTTATGTGCCTGACTTGTCCGAATTGTCGAAAATGCAGGCCAGTCCGAAGACTTTTTGCGAATCCATCTCATTTTGCGAACCTATTGCAGTGATGCGAGACCGACAGATACCAATTTGCAAAATTGCTTATCGAAATTCTGTTGTGTCGATTAGGCCAAAATTCGTATGCTCTGGACACTTTTTCTAATCGCGGCGTGTGATATGAACTTCTCTACCGAAACCGTAGAACGAAGCCTGAAAGCAGCACACTCAAAGCTTCGGAAGTACTACGCACGCAGCCAGCGCACGCAATGTCTTCTACGTGTGTGATTGTCGTTTGTCAGCCAGCGCACGCAATGTCTTCTACGTGTGTGATTGTCGTTTGTCACAACAGTCCCTCTTGACATGATCACGTATGGCAACGGCATAGACAGAAGTCCAAAAGTGTGCTCGCGTCCAACGTTCGGCCAGTAAGTGATGCCGATTACCGCAAACACTGCAGACAAAACTGCGCTAGATGCGATCATAGATCGCAAAAAGTGACTTAGTTTTGAAGGCATGTGCGCAGCTATCGCATGCTGATTGAAAACTGAACTACCGTTTGCCGCTGTTGCCGTGCATGAAACCGCTGTCGCGGCGACGCCATAGCGATCTATGAGCTCCGAGGGCACTCAGCCAACGCAGTGGTTTATTGAAGGGCGTGTAAACCACCCAGGTGTCGAAATTCAGTTATTGTGGGGAAATTGTGCACGAGTGTACAAGGAACACACAGACGTGAGAATTTTTTGAAACAGTGCAGTAATAGCGGAGTTAAACGTGTTTATCGAAACCGGGACGACCACACATTTCACTCTCTCCTGGGCTTCCCTCTGCTGGTATCCTCTCCCACGCCGGTTTGCCCTCTCACCTGAGCGCCCCTCCCAATCTCGCGTGGCATACGTCATTGCTTACGCGCTGCTTGAAACACCGTCTACTTCTGGTTGCTGCGACTCCAACCGCCGACTCCGTCAGTTGCGTGCTTGTTGGCGGACCGTGGCTGCCGTAATCGTGTCGATATGGAACCTATTGCGCATATGCCTTCAAAGAATTGTCAACGCGATGGGCCCATACGGGAACACGCCGTGCTCTGCACGTGTTACACTTGGGCAACACGACGAACAACAACAAGCAGCGCGAACAGCTGCTTGCAGACTGACAGGAAGTTGTAAGCTCTTGCTCGACAGCATATTTGGCATATTTGGCTTGGCGCGTCAGAGATGTGGCACGGCGCGTCATGGGGAGGCCTGAATGGGCCGAAAAGGAAGATGGATTGGTTCTTGGAATTTGTGGCGCACCGGTGGCTCAGAGTGCTGCCACGTGCAGAATCGTTGATTGCTAGGGCATCCTGTACATAATACGCACATTTACTTGAAATGCCTGAAAGAACATTGGAAGTGGTTTACGGCCCCTTTAAAGGCGATAGAGACTTGAAGGCTAGAAGCGTTTTGGTGTTCCTGTTCAAAGAGTCTAGTAACGTAGCCCCATGCTTTGGCGGCAGCCAGCTGCTTCGTCCCCTCTGTTCACGGTGTGTCCCAGGAGGACACGGCACGCCTTTTGGTAGAAATGATTTTGCTAGCTGTTTTGATTACGCAAGGGGAACCCTACCCTCGTGTGTTTGGGTGTTTGGCCACTGAAAGCCGCAACGCCGATGTTTACGCTTCCGGGGCTGTTGCGACGCTCCCCTTTTTTTGCGACGTTCTTTTTTTTAAGCCATAAATAAATTGGAAGTATGCACTTGTTACTGTAATGCACTTGTATGCACTTTAACTTGGCAGGTATGCACTTGTTACTTTGGCTTGGATTGAATTGGATTGGTGCTTCATAGGCATAACTTTTAAAGGGGCCCTCTAACACTTTTCAACCCACATTTTTTGCTCGTGGACTGCATAGACTGATGCAAAACAAATTAGTGCAGCAAGAACAGCAGTGATAGCGGCACGCAGTACGAAGTTATTCAATTTAAAAAAAACTCAAAATGCTACAAAAGAAAATGCCTACCCTCAACTCAAATTTCGCGGGGTGACATGACCACATTTCATTCTCTGCTGTGACGTTGCAGGGGGCCTCCAATGACATGGCCTGAAAGCTCTTACATAGAGGAAGCTCGTAAACCATTGTTGCCTGTTCAGTCAAATGTGTTTATGATGTTGTTGCTATAACAATAGGCAACGTGGTGCCTGACTACGTCGTTATGATTACGCGGTCGAACAGCTGGGTGAGGCTGGTAGGAATGAGCCTCCCCGACTTGTCAGAACTCGAGTAGGTCCTTTTTGCTTCAGAGCGAGGATTTACGCGTCCTGTGATAGGCTGCGCTCATCGTCGTCATTTCACCTCATTGCGCCGACGCAGTCGGCAGCAATGAGGTGACTTTATTGCACGATTAAAATACTAAATGATTTGATATCAGTGCTTGGACCTATGCTAAAATTATCCCCAGCCATCGGTCTACACAAAACACATACAAAAAATAGGTGCTTCAAAAGTG